CCGTCGATGATAATGTGCCACCCTACGGTATTAGATCTATCGAAGATCTTATTGAAGATCTGGTTGATACACAAAAAGGGAATGTGAGTGATGACGATGAAGACGAGGAGGAATCGGCACCGATTCTTTCAAACTCCCAGGCTTTATCTGTAGTTAACGATTTGAAGCGCTACTTAGCTTCTTTAAGTGAAAGTGAAGAAGCATTACAAAAGTTAAATGATATTGAAAATCTGATCTTTGCTAATGCATCAAAATTCGTTCCCGAGCCAGCAAAAAGAATTCAAGAAACATAGTTATAAATAGAGAAATATGTATTTGTATTTAAAAGAATGTAACACCATGTGATAATTTTCTAATTTTAATAATTTAATATGGTAATTAAATGATACTATAACGTTTTATATTCTCTTTATTATATTCCCGTTAAGACTTATATACATTAATCTATAAGTAGGCTGATTATACCATACACGAATATTCGCCGATGAGGGAATAAAGACCAATTGCTAATAAATGGATTTAAAGAAGCTTTTAGTCTCTACCCCGGACTGCGTACGCAAACCCTGTCGACCAACGTAATAAAAAAAAGATATATAGTAGTCATGCCATCTATAAGAGTTCCCTTATACAGGAAAAAATTGTAATCAGTACGCAAAATTTTATATTGTGATCGTTACGGTACTCAAATTTATACATTTTCTCTCTCTCCTTTTAACCTGCTAACATTGAAGATATAAAATCATCTTTAGTAAAACTTATATAGGTAGTTTATATAATATTTTGTATAAGTATTACTTAAATATTAAATATCTATATAAAAGAAATTATATTTACAACGGAAAGCCTGATCTTTTTATTTTTTTGCATGACGTAACTACGAAGGAATCGGTGAAACCTGCATAAAAAATAATTTATCAAATATTATCGATAGCTCAATAGAAATATGGAAACTTGAAGAAAGCTGAAGTAATTCGAGGATCGGGTGCAAAACCACGAAAGAGTTAAATATTTGAGACAACTTTACTGACTGTAGCTTAGAATAATGACAAAGCATAAAACCATGATAAAAGTAGGTTGAAAATATGAGGTATATAGCAATCTGACTTATAATAATGCAATTGAATTTGGCTATAAGAGTAAATTAGACAACGAATTCACATTTGTTTCATATAATATTTAGAAGAAGAACTGGCTTTAGTTATTATCCTAAGGACTAGAACATCAAAACTATAGATTTATTATTTCATTCTTAGAATAGGATAGTTTAGGTAGTGAAAAATTTGTCACGAAATTGCACAAAAACTAAAATTTACATCGTTATCGACATAGAGATTCTGATTTTTAATCTTTAAATCGCACGATTATCTGTTTATCTTAAAATTAAGTCGTAATTTTTTGTCTGTATGTCACGTAACTTGAAACACGTCCCGCCAATGTGTGAGGTCACTGTGGCGATAATTGTTAGATTATTCATAAAAATATACCTATTAATTATAAATCAAAGTCCTAGATGGCGCTGATGTTAACTTATTTATATCTTTTTATTTCGTAATTATTGTTAGATGGCATCGTTCTTGTTTTATTGACATCTTTTCATCTTCTACTCTATGCATTTGTTTTGTGTACGTTTACGCTGGTAAAAAAATATGTAAATTATGATTTTATGTTAAGGCAAGAAAACGTGTTTATTTTTCGAAATATTTGATTTAGGGATTTTTTTTACTCAAAATAAACAGGTACAAGTATTATTTCAACCGGAATAGAATACCCAATGGAGTATTCTATTCCGGTTGAAATAATAATTAATGGTATTATTATAAGATTTCATTTAAGTTCAAAACATAATACCAAATCTACAAAGAGTATATTTAAATAAAGTTAGTTATCGTGGGGTGATAGGAACCCACCTAGTCCGCACACGCGTCTTCTCCATATTTCTGTATGGAGCCGAGATCTGAACTATTAAGGCGGCTGATAGACAGAGAATCGACGCGATTGAGATGTGGTGTTGGCGTCGTATGCTGAGAATACCATGGACAGCTCACCGCATAAATGTCTCTGTCTTACAGCAGCTTAAACTAGAGAAAGCACAGCGTCTTTCTTCAACCTGCCTGAAACGCATACAACAATACTTCGGCCACGTTGCTCGACGAGATACCGATAACCTGGAACGCTGGTTACGGGGAAAATAGAGGGAAAAAGTCCCAGGGGCTTGAGCCCCAAACGTTGGTCAGACCAGATCTCGGAGGTACTTGAGATCCCGGTCAGTGCTGTACTCCACCAGCAGCTGAGCGAAACCGATGGATACAGATGGTTGTTAAGATGATACGGAGTCGCAATCCTCAGCCGTAAGGCAACGATAGAGAAGAAATATATAATACCCGTTTTGAACATAGAAATCATTTGTTTTTTCGATAATATAAACATGACATCAAAATATTTGGTGACATCTGCATATTTTGTAATGTTATAAAAAGAAAACCACTGATTCGATTTCAATAAAATTTAAAAGGGATCACCTCGGCCTTTTGAAGTCGTTTCAAAAGGAAAAATATTGCCTATAAAGGTTGCTACTTATGATACTAGGTACCTATATGCGGAGGCTAGAGAATACTTGTTGGTAACATACCTAATCTCTTACGGATTGTTTACTACTATTGAAATAAACACGATAATGTTAGTATATATTATGAAATTAATTTTGATAATTAAAATTAATAACTTGTGATGTTTCATTGTAAATTACCAATTTCTATTGGCTCATTTCAAATGATGCAATTCTCAAGTGAAATAGCGCATTTGACAGAGCATGCGCGGTGCGGGTGATCTCTGTGCGACAAAATAATCGCCAACCAATGAAAATCAGACACATATATCATCAGTCGATATAGAAATGGTAGTCCACCATCCCATGTCAGACCCTTGTGAAAGTTGCTTAGTAATAACCGACCGCCGAATCGCCGACCGCGGCGCTTATCCACTACGCCACCGAGTAATCTAAATGTAATTAATCTAAATGTAAACCGCGTTAAAATCTGTTTTATATTTGGATTTAACACATTCAAATTAACACACAGACGCATCACGTGTCCTTATTAAATGCAATTATTTATTAATAAATTACAAAACATTATTTTGTTGTTCATACGACATTTCGTCCGTCATTAAATACGTCATTAAACTTACTAGAAGTAACTTGTAATCAATTAAATAATTTTTATGAGTGTCTAAAGAAACTTAACTCTACCTTATGGAGTTTTACGCTCTGTGTTCGTTCATACGCAGAAACTCTCTGCATTCTGGGAGGCAACGCGATGTAAGTCATAAGCTTAGGCGTCTTAATGTTAAGTAAAATTTACCGCGAAGAGTATCATCACGGATGCATGCTATATAATATTGTAACCGTAGCAAGTAAAGACGTATCATTATTTAGTGTCCTTGGCACGTGTATCAAATAAATGAATTTGATTTGATTTGGATTGAATTTGCCTATATCTCTAGAAAACAAGAGTGACTTGATTTTTTAAAGCACTAGTTACTAGAAGCAAAATCATAAAAACTTTTGTTAGTAAAATAATGTAATTAAATAAAAAAAGCGTAAAGTAATTCGGACGAAAGTTTTTATACAGCAGTGCTTTGAGAAAAACTATAGAAACCTAGTTTGTTTTAGTTGAAAAGCAATAAAAGTATTTCTTTATTATATTTACAAAAAATCGACAGTCCTGCTAATCGCCATTAACTGTTTCTCTATAAGAACCTATTAAAAACTTATCGACTATTTGGGTTTCACATGGAAATTAGCAAGCAAAGCGCTAAGATAGTCAGACCAAATACTGAATTATGTTATAAAAATATTAAGATTCTGTATTAAATTATTATCAATTGGTAAACATATACTATACTTGTAAGGCATAAACTACGAATGACACCCCTTTGTGCCTGCTTTTTGGTTTTTTCCTGACTTGCTAGTATATTATGACTTGGACCACGCTGTCGCCCCTTCATATTAAACTTGTACTGATAACAATAAATGAATTGTTCTGGCACAGGCATGTTACTGGCTATTCTCGAAGACGATGTTATTAATAGTTATTGTTGCACATACTTGTTTCATTGTTTTTAGGTGTTTTATATAAAGAAAATAACGTCGGTTCCTTTACGGTGACATAATTAAACACTTATTTATTGCTATCCGATAAGATTATAAGAGTAGGACGTTTATGAAGCGAAAGGTGATTGGTGTAAATCTGATAAAAGCTCTGTCAAAGCCTAACATAGGACACCTAAATAAATACCAGAAGAGAACTGTAAAGCTCATTATAACTGTATAAGGAAATGTAACAAAAGAAATAATATTATAGGTATAAAATAGTTAATAGAAACGAAAAAAGGACCTTATTTTAAGTAAAACTAGTGTAAGGAAAAATGTGTAAGAATAAAATAAATAAAAACGTGTACTTTTGTTAAACTCTGAAGTTTATATAACAGCAGTAGTTAGCGGCAATCCCAGCCGAAAAGGAATGAAAAGATGAATGTAAGAAAGATACCACATAGTATGCGGAATGAAAAGATAAACGAGTGCGATAGAACTGAAATGAAAGAACAACAAGAATAGTAAGGGCCTGTAACTAGATGGGGACTAGTTAAGTGCTCAGCCACAGACTGTAAGGTCGGGCATTATAAAAAACATACGACACCTACACCTACTAACATTGAAGAAAAATGTCTTTTAGACATTAAGTACTACTTACCATATCCTTAGTGTACCCGGAGATTTTTGTCTATCTAGAGCTAGTCTTTATTACTATTAAAATAAACTTTGAAATATTAAATTAAGAATTAAAGATACTAAATTGTAGATGAAAATATGCGTACTGATTGTAAACTTACCCTGCATAAACAATGAATAAAAAATATCACACGCACATATAACAACCCAATTTATTGCTCAGCCACAGACTGTAAGGTCCTCCTCTTATAAAATAATGTTCTAAAATATCTCACTTCTTCTGCGGACAAAGTGGCTTTCTAGGCTTCGGCTCCTTAGGTAGATCATCTTTGCAAGGAATTCTCTCTCTCAAAGCGAAGTTCTTACCACAGGTGGTATTGTAAACAGCCAAAACAGCTTTAGCACTATGATAGCAAGCTTCACGGAAGTATTCGTCAGTTTCTTTAGGAAAACATAATGCACCAGCAGCTAGGGCTCCTAAACTTGTAAAAAAGAATCTCCTTGGCACACCACCTCCGCCTCCTAGAAGAAAGCCAGTTAGCGTTCCTGTAGCAAGAACTCCTTGTCTTAGTGCCAAATTATCAGGATGTCTCATGTAGTCCTTAAAATTCTTCTTATTCTCTCTCACAGTAGAACAAAGGACATTACAATTACTTTTGAGAGTACAACATAAGTTACCGTAACATTCCAAAGCTTTCTTCCTTGATTTTGTAACATGGGGTAGTAACGCGTTGTGTATGATTTTATCCTTGTATCCAGGACACTTTTGTTTGTCAGCGATGTAATCTTTATATTCGTAATGAGGGTTTTCATATATTGGCAAATCTTTATATTTCATCGGTGGTGGTTTCTTCGGTGGCTCATTCTTCGCGGCAGCCTCAACTACAGGTATCAAACGGAATTTGGCTCCAACCAATACAGCCTGGAGTGCTTCTATCCAAATTCGTCCTATCACAAATAAATCTCCGTAACACAATCTGGAAAGGGACTTTTTCATATCATCCTCGCTTTTGAATATCTCGTCGTTTTCACACTCTTCGATTTCTTCTGAATCTTTGATGGGTTGCATTTTATTGTGTTGTTTACACTAGAATTTTGATGGATAACATTGTGATTTGGGTGCGTTAAATTTTTCAGTGACACGAATGGCAGTTGGATCTTTTTGAATTATCATAGAGAAATCAGCGATCAAGCCATCGAGGCGTGAATAAAAGATAACTAAACTTTTTGGATAATTATTCCATTTTTTTAATATAAAAATATGATTGTGGTCTTTGCCCTTCCGCTATTAAGATTTAATTGAAATTATCAAATTTTCAATAATTTCAGATTAATTAGAGATCTGTCTAGTTCCTTTTATTACAAATATCTAATTTTATGAACAACTTGAGAATAGAATATGAAAAAATATTTATTCGTATATCACACAGGCGATGCTGCTCATAGAAGTTTTTTTTTTTAATATAGCGGGTAACTCATAAATAATTTCTTAGTTAAAGGCAAAAGGATTTTGCTCATATTAGGCTAACTATAACTTCTACGAATCAAAAGTTATAATTGAGCAATCACAATTCTATATTTTTGAATACTGTCTTGTCATTACATTCCGTTGCCTCTGTGAAATATAGCCCTATCAGAGTTGCCAACCTAAGTCTTAAAATATAGAAGGTGGGTGGAAAGGGTATTCCGATTTGGAATTTCCAAATATAGATAGATAGAGATATATCTATATCTCTATCTATCTATATTTGGATATACTTGCCTACTTATCCACCGACATTAGTTCTGAAAATTGCTTAGCAAAAAAACGGAATACTCGTAACTTACGGAATTATTATGTAGGTGGCTCTCAGCCAGATGCTTGATCGCTCAAAACAATAAAGGTTTCTTTGCACTTGGCTATGTGGGTTGTTTTAATGATTTAAAAAAAATAGTAGATTTATATATTTTTTTTATTTAAGACTAAGGTTAAATCAGTAAATCTACTGAAAAGTTGGTAGATATGGTATCACTGGACTCCATCAAACTCACATCCTGATCGAAACAAAGCGAAGAATATCAGATTGAGTCGAGTATTCGATTACACCCGGCTGGATGCATTCGCTTCAGGATTGCTGAAAAAAAACTAGACCCGTATGCACTCTATTTCAACTGCCAAGTGTAATTCGCGTCGCTGATTCACTGCCAGCTTTAATTTTAAACTGGTAAGATTCACATTCGAATGGCAAATGTTTTATTGTTTCCAGTAAAGTTTGTGCGGTAAGAGTGAGGCATAACACAACGGTTTCAAATGTAGGAAAATCTTTCAGTGAAAGATATTGAGGTGTTATTTCAACTAGTGTTTCAATTTAAGCCGCCATTTTGTTTAAATGAGACAAACTTTTACATATAATCACGTATTTTTCGCTTTATGATGTCGCCATCTCTGAGACTTCGATTCCTAGTCGAGTCAATATAGAAAAAGAATGTTTCTTATTGGTTACTTACCTTTTCTTATGTTCCCATCTCAGAGTACCAGAGACTTGTGGATTATTTAAGCGTTTTTCATTAAGAATATTTTCCAGTGGGCATAGCATCGTGAATTGAAAAATGAACCAATATATAATTATTTTTTTTATTTATTTGGGCAAAGAAATCTTTGGTTTCAATTTTTAGTGTTGGGGTAGCTTCGTTGTTTTAGATTTCCATAATACAAGTGCTTAAGCTATTTTATTTGGAATCTGCACAATGTACTCGTATGTATATACAATGTTGTCTAATGTAATATTATGTATAGAAATAACTTATATCGAGGTTTTCAATGATTTTTATTATAATATTTAATCTATACTAAGTTTGTTTGCATTAAATAGGCTACGAAAATACTGGATTGATTTTAAAAATTCACCTAAGGGAAGCTATATCATATGCGGGTGATATAGGCTGTGATTTACGGAGGTAAAGTCGCGGGAAAGTAGCAAATCTAAAATATAATAAAATAAGATCTTAAAATACAAAAAGGTTTCCGTTTTATCCTTTGGTACGAAAATTCTAAAAAGAAGACGTTTAAATGTGGAGTATTGGAATAGTGCTAGTATCAAAATGTCTATTTAGAAATTCTTCAGATTGTTTGATAACAAAGCTGGATATATATTTTTGTCACCCATCAAATCGTCGGCCTTTGAGAAAGTTGCTTCAATTCCGCAACTCAAGACTGAACTCAACAGCTGCGAGTTCCTCATAAAGACGGCATTATTCAATATACGTATTCCGATATTTTTATCAATAACACAATTAGTTGATTATTCAAAATATAGTTTTCTCGGTCGCCCACCACCGCCGTCGCTGCGCAGGCGCAACTACATTCCATTAATGATAAATCTTTAATGGCGCTTTGTTTTACAACAATTTTATCATTTAGCCGGGAGCTCAGAGCATTGTGTGTTCGCATTGTCTAGCTGCAGCCTACGGCTTGGCTTGTTTCAAACTAGAATTATTTTTGATAGAGCGTTCTTGAAATTAAGGCAAATTGTAACTAAATCCGTATTAGGGTTACCCATTGAAATTGTACATTTATTTACGTAACCGGAGTTTGTGTCAAAATCATCTCAAAGCAGGAGAATTTCCGTAGAATTGAAACAAACGTATAAATCATTAATGTCATATAAAATACGAATTTCTTTTATATTTTCGTTTTTTGCGCACCTCCTATCTTTCCATTGGTTGAACGCGTGGAAACCATTAACCTTTGAAATATTCATAATATAATATACGTTATGTGTGTCTTGATTTTGTTGACAATGAGGTTATAATAGCAATGTCATAGTGTACGCATTGAGTTTACGATGTGGAAGTGAAGCAACTTTCGCTAGATAGGATGGGTGACCAAAAAAACTAGCCCGATCTCCTCTGTGCTTCGGGAGCAACATTATGTCAATGGCCCCAGATGCATCTGCAGTTGTTAACCTACACCATTACGCACAGGGTCCGCGTGTACTGGCCTATTCTCCCTATTCGATTCCATTCATAGGCAAAGCATATGCCATAGTAGTTAATAGGCTTATAATAATGAACATTCTAATGATGTTACCATTAATTGACATATATTTTCAATATATATTCATTTCGGTGATTTTTTATAGGTATATATTTATTTAAAAAAATCCTTGTGGTATTTAGAGGAAAACTTAGAATCTAATGGACGTTTGCAACAACACATTGAAAATAAACCAGCCAAGTTAGACTTGCGTATGAGAGTGGTCATGAAAATAATATGTCTATCACGGGAATCACATCTTCAGTTGTTCAATGTTTTGACTGAGCTTTTAAGTGTGCGGTCACACGATCAGTTTCTCGTATGGCGTCGTGCGGACGTAGCAGTAGCGGGTGTAACAGTGCCGCAGCGGCGTGGTGTCCTAAACTAAGCCTATGACACCCAGTGTGTTTCTAACCCTATAAAGCCAAAATTACATTACGAAAGTAATGTCATGAAACTAAAAAAAAATCATGAAATTTTCACTGAGACAATGGCGCTTTACTATGCTTTACTTTGCTCAGATGGTGTCGCAGTAGTAGTATGCCACGCCACGTAAATCGAGTGAAATTAGTTGCGTGAAACTTACTTTCATTAAAATATGCATATCGCATAAAACTACATTCGTGCCGTGAAAGTAATGCATGCATTCACTCACTCATAGATTTTTTGTTATTTTTATATGAAATTCCTTTCTAAACGTAGTATTCTAAACGAAATAAATTGTATTATTTTGCGCCGACATTTCCGCAAATTTATAAACGAAAGTATATCTATTCGTAGGATTCTAAACGGTTTGACCAATAACAGAAGAGCTTTTAATTTTACGCTTCTTTGAAATACGGAAAATAATAGACTATTCTCTGATAAGTCTATGTTGACAGTAGCAATGCTTGTAACCATACGCTAAGGTGCAATCAGACTAAATTAACTATAATTTGTAGTTGCAATGCTTGGGTCCTTCTTTGAGATATTGGTCTATTTTAGTAAAGTTAGCAAAGTAAAACATAAAACATATTTTTGAAGTTAAAACCTTACAAAAACATACTAGCAACGTGTTTGTTTTTTTATTCCGTGGCGAACAATGGTGTTGGAGAGGAAAGAGAAGTAAGACGTGACTTATTTAACCATTCAGAGCGTACATGGTTTGGATATTGCTTACTTATTATTTTACATGTTAGTTCGGTAAGTTTATCAATTTGAGAATATGTGTAATAATACAATTTATCTCTCGTTTAGAATCCTACGAAAGTTTATAGGTCTCCTAAAAAAAATATTAATTGGCAGTTCTTGTTATTTTCCGGTGTCATATACATATATGTATAATAAAATTAATTCGTCTCTACAAACACATTAAACACATCGTGTGGTTTATTGCAAATTCAGTTTCCAAAACCTATAATTATGACTAGTTTCTCTCGTTAATTTATATTTATAGAATAGAAGAAACTCATAAACTAACAAAAAAATAAATATTATTCCAACAAAATGATCGAGAAACTTGATTTAGGGATGTACTTTGCCGTTGAAAAGTATTTTTGTAACATTGACATAGGTGACCTCTCAGTGTGCAACTGTACTTATTGTCTCGACTACTATACAAAACGAATAAGTTTATCACGCATCGCTTAAGGCACATGTCCCATTTGACCCCGTTTTTACATCTGACGAAATTCTGAAAGCAAAATAAGAATAGTCCTCTTATTGTCTATGATCCTAAGCCAATTTGGTGACTTATTGAGACTTGTTGCATCCTATTCTAATAACTAACCCGCATACTATAAAATAATCCAATATTGTATTGATGCGTATTATCGATGCCCATATCTCGTTATACCTACTGCTTTTTTTCCAAATATTCCATTGGAACTTAATATAATTATGTGGTAAATGTAAACATGTAAAAATTTCGAATAATTTATTTTCGAATTCTGCGGACAGCATTATACGGGCCACATTTTAGAGTTCCGTGCCCAAAAGTTGAAAACGGCATCCTATTACTAACACTCGTATTTATAATGGAAAAATGTAATAAGGCAGATATTTTTAACAAATAA